TGAAAAAATCTTTTTAATAATAATTTATTAGCAAATAAATTACAAAAAATTAATTTGATTTAAAATTCAATTTTAAAGATTGTTTAAATTTTTTCGCGGATAGTATTTTTTCATACGAATTGATCGCTCTCTTTCGATGCTGAATCATAAAAAAAGAACCTATTAAAAATTGTATTACGTTTGGTCACCTAGCGAGCATAATTGAGCATAGTATCAGCTGTACTTAAAAATAAATTTCTATGTATGGCTGCTCAAAAGACAGAAAATTTTTCCAACTGCAAGCCGAAAAAAAATTAATTACAATCAAACAAAACAATATTAAGCTGCAATTTTCATTCCACAATGTTCCATAAATTAGATGAGAAGATTAAAAAAAAAAATTAGTTAAAAAATTGATTTTTTCAAATCATCGTGTTTACCTCCCCATAAGAGCTTGCAAAGTCTATACTATAAGTCATTACAACCATTTTTTTACGGTAAAAATGGCAATTAATCGATTAAAAAAAAATTAGGAAAACGGTTGATCCTAAAGACCATCCCTGCAACTTCCCACTAACTCCATACACGGAAAGAAAATTGTTCGAAAAATTACGATGGAAACATCGTAATTTTTAGTATAAAACATTGTAGTGCCGGACCAGAACTCAAACATTTTAATTTATACGATGCAACATCGTAAATTTCTGTCACTCAAATTAATAAGAAGTTTAGGTTACCGAAAAAATAATTCTGTTCAGTCACATATTAATAAGACCCTCCATACAGAAATTGGTCATCTTTCGGTGGTGGCGTCGCAAACTATTGGACTCTGTCTCTCTTTTATTAACACGTATAGTATGTGTTCTTATTCACTTGCTCTTACGGAAAAAAAATTTACTAAATAACATCGTAATTTTCATTAATTCAAATTGTATTCTGTAGACGGCAGCATCGTAAAAATCAACATGCTGAAAGTCTAGTCCTGGATTACGATGTTACCATTGTAATTTTTCATAGGATTTTTTTTCCGTGTACCTAAGCGCTCAACATATATTTCACTTATTTTGTTTCTGAGCTCTTAAGGGCTCAAAAATATAGTTTTTGTGTTATTTTTAGCTCTCCGAGCTCAAATAGATAGCTGTTCTATGATTTTAAGCTCTTCGAGCTCAAAAGTCTGATAGCAGTTTCATAGAACACTATTTTTTGAATTTTCAAACCGCAATAGCTTTTGGATCAATCAACCGATTTTCTCGTGGTTTACAACATTAAACGCAGTTTTTTGAGCTCTTTAAAGAATCTGAAATCGCAAACTGTTTAGACTAAAAATTTCATAGAAATACTGAAAAAAACATTTTTTTCAATTTTTTTCGATGACGATATCTCATGAACGAATCAACCGATTTTGATCGGACCGGTGACGATCGACGTGGTTTTTTGAGGTTAAGAGCTGAGTAGTTTTTTTTATCGATCGGTCAAGTCGTTCAAAAGATATTTCAAAAAAACGAATTTTTGGAAATTTTATTTTTGAGATTTCTCAAAACTAATCTACTCGAATAATGAAAATAACGCGCATGCACCAAAACTAAATCAGCTGATTAATAACTTTCATAAGCAGTTGGAGACTGAACTTCACTTTACATAAACGCAAACACACAAAAGAACAAAAGATTTTGATTTTTTATTAGTTATATTTATACGACACCGAAGTAGGCTGCCATTTTCAGGAGGTCTTCACTCGTGTCATTCTAAAGTTAATAGAAAAAAAAAGATGTCAATACATTTAATATTTTGACGGCTAAAGTGTTTACAAGCAGACTTCACACGCTCAGATTAATTGGCTTTCATTATAATTTCTTTTTTAATCATCAGTTCTTTTTTTGTGATAAACGATATACAGTTTTTTTTACCATCAGGTGTATTTATGTTTTGTATTTTCTTGAGATTGATACACCTTTATTATCCTGTAAATCCAATAAGAATATAATAGCCACGATTGAAATCCGGAAAACTGCCTGAATGATTTAAATTCGAATTATGTCGATCAAATTGTAAGAATTAAAAAAAATGTTCTAGACTTGTTCAGAAGAAATGAGACTAAAAAAATGAAAAATAAAAATAAAGAAGTAAAACTAAAGCCGAATGATATATACATAATACTGACACAAAGGCGATGTATGAAAGGAAAGAGGACTGGTGTGTATAGTGTGCCAGGGCAGAAGGTGAATGCAAAGAAAACGATCCAAGGTGGCTGGTGGGCAATGCGTGGATTTTTGTTACGTATGTGTATAAATGTGAGAGATGAGGAGTATAACTCGAGCGTGAAGAGAAAAGGAATGCCGAAAGGTGAATTCTTTGGGTATCCTCACACCTACTCAAACGATATAACAAAACACATGCCACATGATACGCCATGGCAGAATTCATAAGAAGAGAAGAAATAAGCTCGAAGTAAGCGAGGAAGAAAGAAAGAGGTGAATATTTTTATTCTCGCCGCTTTTAACTACTTCGATCTCTAGCAGGGCAGGCATTCCTAAGTCAGCGGGCAATGCCACACCAAAAACGCTAATCAAGTTGTGAACCAAAATAGTATTATGCTATCATTATTATTCTTCTTTTTATTTTATTTTCTGCTACTACTCATTTCTTCAGGGCTTGTTTGGTCCTACACATTTCTTTTCTATGATTCATTTCATTATTATACGCTTACATAGTGCAGTTGGTAGTATATATCTTTTCTTCTTTATTTAGTATGTTCATATAATTAATTTTTGAGGATAAATTACAATACAAAAGATAAATACCAATAAGAAATTATGCAAATTAGGGGTTGTGAACAATTAAAAAAAATTAGAAAAACGGTTCACCCTAAAGGCCATCCCTGCAACTTCCCGCTCATTTTGCACTTAAACGCTTCAAACTACACATTACGTTTTTGAGCTCTTCGAGCTCAAAACTCTAATAGCAGTTTAAAGACACAATTTTTTGAATTTTCAAACGGCAATAACTTTTGAATGAATGAACCGATTTTCACGCGGTTGGCGGCAATCGACGCAGTTTTTGAAGCTCCATGAAAAATTTTCAAGTTTAAATCGATCGAGCCATGAATTTCGAAGTTAATACAAAAAAACACTTTTTTCGATTTTTTTCGACAACGATATTTCACAAACGCATCAACCGATTCTGACGTTTTTGGTGGCGATCGATGGGGGTTTTCAAGGTTAAGAGCTGATTAGTTTTTGAGACCGATCGGTTCAGCCAATTCGGAGATATTTAAAAAAAATAAAAAAAAACAACTTTTTTTTTCACTTTTTTTGCATTTTCTCGAAATCTACCGGTCCGAATTGGTTCCAACTCTCAGGAAATCTAAGTTTGGCGAAGCCCTTTCGAATGACACCAACCGCGATGAAATCGGTCAAGTCGTTCAAAAGTTACAAGAGGTTTACATACACACACACCCCCACACACACACACACACACATACATACATACAGACGTACGGACATCATCGCAAAAATAGTCAGGGAAGCTTCCTGTGACCTTCAAAAGTCGAGATCTGATGAAAACTCGATTTTTGTAAAACGGGGTGAAAACAATAACTTCCCGATTTTTGAAAATCTGAGATTTTTAGCGGGAAGTTAAAAATTCTGTAGCAATTAAGTATAAGAAATTTTTCACTCAATAATATCAAAAGTCAAAAGGAGACGAAAAATTTTTTTAACTATGCCTTAAAATTTTTCTTTATGTAAAGTAAATTGTTCAGTGAAAAAAAAAATTTCTTTAAAGTAAAATAATTTTTTTATTCCACACTTAATTATACAAAAAAATGTTTTTTTTTTTAACTTTTTTTTGAAGCAAGAAAATTTGTATTTCAATTCAAGGAAATTTCGAAATAAGTTCGCTGTTTTCTAACCCAAAAATTTAATCAATAATATTTACCATTTAAATTTATTTTATTTTGCGTAAGAGAAGATATTATCAAGCCAATTTAAATTCAACACTTGGTTTAATAGTGAATTTGTTCACTTAAAAACGGTTTTTCTAAAAAAAATTGTACACTTTTTTTGAGTACAAAATGTTAACAAATCACGAGTTTTAAATCAAAAAAAATTTTATCTTAGATTCTTTAATATTAGAATAGAGCAAAAAAGTTTACATTCTTAACTTGGTGTAGAATTTGTATAGAAACTATATAGCTTATGTGAAAGTAAAATTTTTGAAAAATAAAAGCAATTGACTTACTTCAAATGACGAGGTTGTCTACTAATTTTTAAAATGAATAATTTTCAATTTATTAACGCAAAATTACTTTTTTCGACTAATAAATTTCGAAAAATATAAAAATTGATATAGTTATCAACTTAACTTTTGCTCTAATACAAAAAAAGAAGCATAGCATCTTTTGAACTTGAAAGTTGTAATAGTAGACTGAAAAAAATTCATTTTCGGTTATAAGTTTTAATAAACTTCAAAGGAGACACTTTACAGTTTCTAGAACAATATATATAAAAAATTTTCTGTGAAAATCAAAAAATTCAATTAATTCGGACTCTCGTCTCAATGTAGGTCAGTAATATTGATTTTGTCAACAAAACAAAATATTTTTCTCGGGTCGGCTTGAGCTGACTGAATTCTCCAGGGAGATTTCTGCGAGGCATGCCGATTCGTTCACACGCAATATGCTTGACCATAAATACGCAGTAGTAGAATGACATACGTGGTATTTTCCTGTAGGAACACGTATGCTTGCCAACAACAATGTATGTAATCGAATCAGGTACTCGATGAGTCAGTCATAAGTGACAAGTCCAGGTGAATAGATATCATGGTAGCTGTTAAATTTATCTTAAAAAGTATCGTTTTGTATTTTTTGATTGTGAGTGTGATCAAGTGCAACGACAACATTGATTCCTCATGACAAACGTCTTTAGAAACCCACATTCATACGGTAATATATTTTGAGTAATTTATAAAAAATAGTGACTTTTGACATCGATTTTTATCAACAGAGGAAGCTGCTGGGGATGTGCTTTCCTGATGAGTTAAACCCGGTTGCGGTTACTATCGATCTGATCGACGTCGTCCACGAAATTCCGAGAAATGAAACCATCGAGTCATCAGTTGTTGTCATCGATGATAATTTCTCATCAAAAGTAATCCAAAAGTACTACCCGCGGCATCCATCGTTTGTTTTATCGGGAAATTCTATACATACACTGAAGGCGATTCTACTTGAAATAAAATCTGCGGAAATATGGAACGTTAAATCGCTGTTCTTGATCATCGGGACGCAGTGCCAGGATTCAGTCAAGTTATTGAAATTGCTGTGGGGAATTGAAGCTGTTGCATCGTTTTTCATTTGTCGAGATGATGCGAGGAATAGAACTATGATCTATACTTTTAATCCCTATTCTAACTATGCGCCGAGACCTTGGAGACGAGTAGAAATCGATAGAGAACCAGGGAATCAATGGACGTTATTTCGTCAACCCTTCAGTAATGGTATTGTATAAAGAAAAAATTATCTTTAATATTCACTGTGAAATTCATGATAAAAATTACGGAACTGTATTGAAATCTAGGGCTCTGCTTTAAAATTTTTTAGTAACAGCAATACTTCTTGAACACTGAAAAAAAAGTTTTCTGCTTGGCGTCATCTACTGTATGGTAACGAATGTATCGTTATGGGTACAATCCGTACAGCTACGAGTAGCAGTTTGAATCGTAACCGTCACGATCTATTCGGTGCCATTCACGAAACGTATAGCTACCGTAGTATACCGTTTTCCTAACCTCACTCTCCTCTAGATGGTAAAGTGTAGATCGTGATAGTAGCGATCTCGTATCGTGCGGAGCAGAAAACTTTTTTTTCAGTGAAGCTTATAACGGTAAAAATGACCATACTATTCCGTAAAATCAAAAAAAAAAAACTTACTGCACTTGGAATAAAATTGTTATTGGACGTATTTCGTATTATTATCAAAAAAATACTACTATTAATTGTATAGGTTTTATATTTTGGAAAAATTAGATTGTAGTTTAATAAGATTGAATGTTTAATTAATTTTTTAAGGTTATTTTACATGAAAATATATTTAGAATAGATAAAAAATAGTTAAAAAAAATTCCAAAAGTCATTAAAGTAAATTAAAAAAAAAAAAACATTCAACTGATGGCATAAAATTTTATTAAAATGATAATTGTTTAATAATTCGTAGGATGTAACTATAATTGAGTAGCAACTGATCATTGACATGTGTAATTTTTTATACAGTTGATATATCGAAAGCGATTGCAGCGAACACCTCAATGATAATAGATCATTTTGTTGGAGTAATTTTTCAGTAGTTTCAGTAAAAACATTTTATTTTACTGTAATTTTTAATATTAAACTATTTTAATATCTGTTTTCAATCAATTTTTCACGTTACGTAATGTTCTATGATAATTGTAATTTTCGCGGTAATTTAAAAAAAAATTTATTTTCATGCACTGATAAAATAGTTAACTTGATTCAAGAGAAATAATCGAACCATGAATATCATTTTCTGTAAAATATATTCTTGGTTCAAGATTTTTTTTTTGATCATTGTGTAGATCGACAGCCATTATCAAAATAAGCCAATGATGTTTTCTCAATTGTTTTAATAGATCCAACAATTTGTCAGAGTATCAAGTTTGACAAATCCAAACATTTGAACGGCTTTCCAATTAGACGTACAGTTCTACTTGGTTACAACAAAGTTATTATCGGCAGAGTTCCACCAACATTATATAATTGGTTATCACCAGTAGACGTCGCTTTATTTCAAAATTTTGAGTTAATATCAAACAGCACCCCGGTAGTATATATTACTGAAGATCCTGATATAGATTGCTTTTACAGTGGTAAATGTGATCTCCAAATACTATTGTTTACTTTTAAACAGGTCGAAGTAAATTATTATGATTTTTTGAGCTTTTATAATCAGGAAGGGTACGTAATAGTCACAAACAAGCAAAGCACTGTACTGATGATTAATCAAATTGTTGAAAATTATTTTAATGTTTGGACAGTTTCTATCTCTTGCATTACTTTGATCGCGATTTTGATCGTCATTTATATAAACAATAACCGAAATTTACGCGAAGCACTGATGGATATGTTGGCACTGTTCTTAGACATGGATTTAATAGTGCCACTAAATAGAATATCTATGAAAATTGCCTTTTTTTCCGCAACGTTGTTCATGTTGATGTTCAACCCCGCGTTTCAAAGTCAGGTGACGTCTTATCTGACAAAGCCGGCTCGTCAGCAGATCCATACATTAGAAGATTTATATCAAAATAAATTTCACGTAAAATACGATGTTGAAATTCATAAGGAATTGTTAACAATGAGATTGTGGTCAAATAAACTTGATAAAAAATATTTACATAAACAACGATACTTTTATTTTCGCGATTGTGAAGCTTTCTTGAAAAGGTCTTCAGCCGCTTGTATCATAAGTACAAATGAGCTTTTTGATAAATTTCCTGATGAATTTCACATATCAAAATACCTGTACTTTAGCGAATATATTGGTGTTGTAAGTAGAAGAAACTGGCCACTCAAAGATAAACTCGATAAGGCGGCAATGAATTTTGTCGAAGCCGGAAACGCGAACTTTTTCGAAAAACAATCTTTTTTTAAAAAAATGTTACGGTTCAAAAAGTTAATCGATAGGATGAAAGCGAACGAAGAACATGATCAGTTAGATTTCGGGTATTTCAATTTTGACTACATTTTGATCCCCCTGTGTCTTTTCTAGACGATTTTAGTGTTGATTATTGAAATGATGCACAAAAGATTCAAAGATTGGAACGAAAAACGATTACGGGAATTGAGGTTCAAAAAATTGCAGGCTCGCTGGATGATCGCATGCGCCATTAAACAAATGGCTGGTGTACCTCAAAATATGCAAAATGTTTAGATATCGCATGAGTTATGTCGGAGAAAAATTATCGATTGAACTTTGAAATCGTTTTTAGAATTATTGACACATTAATATTGCGGTGAATTTTTAAATCAGTTACTTTTTTCGAAAGATTTGCATTAAATTAATATTGCTGTCTAATGTTGGTGTTTAAGATAGAGATTTCTCAATATGCACAATTATAATATTAACGGACAACAATTGCCGAACTCTTCCTCGATCAAGGATCTCGGGATTATCTTCGATACTAAACTTACTTTCTCGGCACACATCGACAAGATTGTTTCGCAAGCTTACAAAGTTCTTGGGTATCTTCTCAGATCCGGAAAAGACTTTAAAAACAACCACACATTGGTTCATCTTTTCAACTCCTTGTTCAGACCGATCCTTGAATACGGATCAATAGTATGGTCTCCTGCTACGAATAGAATGATAAGTAAAATAGAAAAAATCCAACGCAAGCTCTGCAAATACATAGCATACCGTCTACGTTCAAGGAATATTGACAATATTTACAGTCAGTACAAGATAAATAGTATGCATAGAGTCGTAGACAGTGTGCTGACCTAATCCACTTTTACAAAACAATCAATGGACATATCGATTCTCCTGACATCTTGGAACAGTTTAGTTTCATCTGCTCAAGACCAGATCTGAGATCCCGTAGGCTGCTGTACTCAATAAAAACAACAAAAAACTACGTATGTTATGGACCAATAAACAGAATTGTAGACTTAGTTAATTATCACTGTACTGAGTTAGATTACTTCGATGGTTTACTCTCCTCCTTTGCATCTAATGTCAAAAACTTATTACTACTCCATTTGTTTATCAATCTGTGCAATAATCACTTAACTGTATATTTTTTCCAGTTCATGCACGAAAATAATGCTATCTAGTCATTTAATTATTTAATCTTGTAAAAACCTTGTACGTATATAGCCGACCGGCGTTTATTCTATTTGAAATAAATAAATATTCAAACCTACCTTAGTAGGATTAGATTTCAAGAAGATTCTTGAGCAAGATACTTGAACACGATCTTAGTAAAGAATTGAACAATTCTTGATCAAGAAAGTTTACCAAGATTCAGTTTCCAAACTAGTGGTAGAATTGGACATTATTTTTTAGCAGTGTGTTGAACAATACTTGATTAAGTTCAATTGTCGATTTTGCGATCAGAATTTTCTCAGATTCTTAGTCAAGAACCTTGATTCAGACTTAAGCAAGATTCGCGAAAAAGTATGAGTGAGCCTTCCTTCTTTTTTTGATACTGAGGAATATGACAGTGTTGGACATCAGGTTTCTGGGAACATTCTGGCTAAATTTTTACTAATGTTTGGTCCAATTATGTTGTTCAAGCATCAATTTTCAGTATTAATTATACAGAAAATCATAATTTTCAATGATTTTAATTGCATATAAAGTTCTGTTAAAATTACAGAAAAAGTTCTGATATAATTACCGACTCAATATGTAAAATTTACAGATTTAGAATCACATAAGTCAGTACGTAAAAATAACATATTGAATTCTGTAAATTTCACGTATTTCTATAAATTTTACCGAGTAGTTTTTTCGAATAGAGCTTTAGTTTAAATTTGTGAAAAATTAATTCATTTTTTCTCCAATTAAATTTGATCAATTCTGTGATATCAAAGGCTCTAAAACGATATCATAAAATACAAGTTTGCCGATAGAATTTGTGAAATCGGCCATAAGTAGTTTTGAGATTTAAATTAGAAAATTTTTTTCTTCGAGTACTTTTTGTTCTCAGCATACTTAAGATTTTTTCCGTCAATTTAATAATTTTTGATTGTAATGTAAAATATAATGTGTAAAACATGTTAATGTGCATGAAATAATTTAAATAAAAGCAATTTTAACGATAAAAAATGTAATGTCACAAATAGATCTATATTTTGTGTAAGTTATTGATAATAAATTTTGATAATATAAATGCTACAATAGAATAAAATTGTCAAAAATAAATTTCCTATCACAAAGATATATCGTATAATACAATAACATATAAATTTAACCATACAATTTAATATAAAAAATATACAAGTAGGGCGTGTGCAATGTTAAAATTCAAGAAATATATATATATATATCGTACAACGAGGCTGTGTATATATACATATATGTATATACGTCGTGTGTTGTGTATGTATATGAGCATAGAGATTTACGAATAGCCAAAACGATTTCAGGTAAGGTGCAACAGTAGTATTTGAATGGATTTGACAATAGCTGTTATATTATAAGCATGTACACCGAATAGTTTGTATTTGGAATAGCTTTTGGTGATCTGGTTGCAGCTGCTTCCGTTTACAAAGGGCGCACCTCAACCAGCCAGGGTAATACTGGCCCCGTTCTACTCTTTGTCGAATGATCCGGAAAGCAGAGATTCTCAATCGATTTAATCCTATATTGCATTTGCCGAATTGCCGAATTATAAAGAAAGAAATTTAATCAAATGAAATAGTAAAATACATCGGTAGAAACCTTTACCCCCATTTCTTTCTTGTGCAACGGTGACAAAATTATGTTTTCACCTACTGCAAAAGATATATATTTCTATTGTGTGTCTATATAATGCTTCAATAATTGATATAAGGCAAAAAGGTATAACGTTAATTTAATATTCTTAAGAATACGTTCAATAGATAACTATTGTCATTTTGAATTCATGAATTTTAAATTAACCAACTCAATAATACTGATATTTTTTTTCAATTCATTTTGTAATACTATACTTTTTGTGTCATTGCTATTATTTACTTTTACGCTTATAGAAAAACTGTCTTGGTCCGAGAGAAATATTTTTAAGATACTGGTTTTTGAGAACAGAATTTTTTTCTTGAGTACTGATCTTGGCTCAAGAGACCCTTATCGTCGATTGATAAGAAAATTTATCTTTGTATTAATACAGAAATTCTTCAAATAACGACAATTTTGGAAAATTCAAACTAATGTGGTTTTCGGGCATAAACTTAAAATTTTTAGTGCAAATAGCCGTATTTTTATCCAAAGTAGAAGAAAAATAATTATAATACGAAATTATTACGTTATCCCGAAAAACAATAATTAAATCTGATCACGTATAATTGAATCTAAATATATGGAAAGATTTAACTATATTTTATTATGTATAACAAACAACCTGTAGTCACTATGATACTGCCAATAATGACGACTTACGAATAAAAAAAAAATTATCTTAATGATTTTTCGATATTTTTAATCACAATTTACATAGATTGAGCACTTTTTAATTATATTTATATTAAAAGATTAAATACTAATAATGTAATGCGAAATGTCACGAAACAAACTAATTGAACCAACAAACTATTTAGAACTCTTTTCAAAATTTAATATAAAAAATCGACTGACCAAAAAATATATAATTGTGAAAAGGAACAAATTCACGCCAAGATCTTTCGATAGTACCAAATGAAACTAATGAGAGCCCATTTGAAATAAAAATACCTCTGTCACAATATTTTGCTTATTCTTTTAATTACATGGATTGATATTTAACATACAATCACACTGCCATGTAAAAATCAAAATAAATAAATGAACAAATCTTATCTAGCTTAAAATTCTAATATATCTATAACTACTCTGGAAAGTTATCAAAATAAACTAATGTACGTCGGAAATAATATGAAACAATGAAAAGTCACAAAATCAGGTCAAGACCTTTTAAATTATATTAAATTTAACTAAAACAAATCATTTTATCATATAAATACGCTGAGGACAAGATTATCCTCATTCTCTTGATTATAAAATGATGTAAGATACTCCTTAATTTTTATAATAAGAATAATAATTGCTATTGTTGTTCAAGGAAATTCATATTAGTGATAACGATATTTTAGCATACAATTTTACACTTTCTAATACCCATGCTAACATATTCAATAGTTCTATCAATTTTAAATAAATAGTTAATTATTCATTGATTTTATGGATAAATTTTAAGTATTAAATATAGGATAAGATTCTGTAATCCACGCAGCGTCAATGTTATAGGATTTATTTCCATATGAATGAAAACATTCATATAATTAAAGGTTTAGAAATATAGTCATACAAAAATAAATATAATTATTTCTAGTCATTTATGATTAGATTACATAATTTTTAATTGGTTAAATATTTAAATACAAACAGAGATAATTATGTCTAACCATTTCTGAACATATATTATTAATTAGATCCAAGTATTTTCTACCGGGAATGAATCCTAAAAGATAATCAAAAATTTTGTTGCAAATATTGGAGAATCTGTTGGTTTCAACGATATTCTTGAAACAAATCAGTAATACCTAATTAATCGGTAAAATCAACCACAATTAAATGAAATTACTATCAATAGATATAAATTTTCGTGACTTTGAAGGGCACCTTATGCGCAGACTTACACAAAATGTAGTGTGGAATTAGTATTGTCTTCCGGTAGAACGAACGATCGATCGAGCGACTCAAAAACAGAACACTCGACCCTCGATTACGAAAACAATGTGACAATGGACTTTTCCTTTAACAGTGGCTCTGTATATACACTAGATTCTTTTCTGTTTAAACGAAGAATGCATCCACGCGTTACGTCACCGACTCACTGACAAAAATAAAAAACAAAACAAATATCCCGTTTTATTTACAGACTACCTTGTATTTTGTATTCAGCTGTCGATCGTCATTGCTGTTCAGCATCTATTTCGTCATTGTTCATCCCTTTTATTTATTTCACTCTGTGATGGTTCTTGGGGAGGTTTCGAGCTAAGCGCGAGTCAAATTGTAGTCTGAATTTGACACGTACTATGTTTAATCATTACATAATACATAGCACGCTTGTGAATCGTTATTTTAATAACTTATCAACAATATCGAGCACAATTTGCAAAAAATTTATTTAAATTTAGAAAACAAAACTTGTGAGAAAGTAAAAATTCTGAGAAAATGATCATATAAATGTA